CTTTTGTTTTGCATGCATTTCTGCTTCTTTGCATGCATTTCGGCTTTTGTTTTGCATGCATTTCTGCTTCTTTGCATGCATTTCTTTCTTTTGTTTTGCATGCATTTCTGCTTCTTTGCATGCATTTCGGCTTTTGTTTTGCATGCATTTCTGCTTCTTTGCATGCATTTCGGCTTCTTTGCATGCAGATTCTGGACATTTATGGTTTCGAGTTCTTTGAAAAAAACAGCTACGAACAATTCCTTATTAACTACGCCAACGAGCGCCTGCAGCAGTTTTTCATTCAGCAAGTTTTCCAGGCAGAGGTGCCAAACCCTACGCCCTAAACCCTAAACCCTAAACCCTAAACCCTACACCCGCAACTCCGCAGGGCTTGCAACGAGGAACCTAAGGAGCTCCAAAACTCTCATTCAGGGTTTAGGAGCATGAAGAATCTTCCAGCTTTTCTGCCGCTGCTTTGCCTAGGGTTTCGGTGTAGGGGCCTGGGGTTTAGGGTTTAGTACCTCGTTTGAGGGTTTAGTTCTTCATTCAGCAAGTTTTCCAGGCAGAGGTGCCAAACCCTAAGCCCTAAACCCTAAACCCTAAACCCTAAACCCTAAACCCTAAACCCTACACCCGCAACTCCGCAGGGCTTGCAACGAGGAACCTAAGGAGCTCCAAAACTCTCATTCAGGGTTTAGGAGCATGAAGAATCTTCCAGCTTTTCTGCCGCTGCTTTGCCTAGGGTTTCGGTGTAGGGGCCTGGGGTTTAGGGTTTAGTACCTCGTTTGAGGGTTTAGGGATTGAGGGCTTGAACTAGGGTTTATCATCTCGGGTTTAGTGCTTCATTTGAGGACTTAGGGCTTGAGGCCCTGACTAGGGTTTAGGGTTTAGGGCTTGCTGCGTGGGTTGGGAGCTGGGGCTTGCGGCACCTGCCTAGGCTTAGGGTTTAGGGTTTAGGGTTTAGGGTTTAGGGTTTAGGGTTTGAGCTGCGCGTGGGTTTCAGAAAGCGGAATATGAGGCGGAGGGCATAGACCACTCCATGATTGTCTACTCCGATAATGCTTCTGTCTTGGAAGTTTTTGACAAGCCCAAGGCGGGCATTTTCGCCTTTTTGGAAGAACAGTGTTTGTTGCAAACAGGTGCAAATATGACTCCAATTAATCAATTAATCATAAAATAAATAATTAATAAATCTAAAATTGGAAATAAATGCAAAATGTCCTGCGGTTTTCTGAGTCTGACTTAGTTTGAGCTGCCTATACACCTGAAATCCCCCTTGCTGCTTCTTGTCTTGTGTTTTGCTTTTTCTGTTTCCACTTCAATTCCCAATTAAATTAACTAAATTGCGCTTTTGGGCATTTTCGCCTTTTTGGAAGAACAGTGTTTGTTGCAAACAGGTGCAAATATGACTCCAATTAATCAATTAATCATAAAATAAATAATTAATAAATCTAAAATTGGAAATAAATGCAAAATGTCCTGCGGTTTTCTGAGTCTGACTTAGTTTGAGCTGCCTATACACCTGAAATCCCCCTTGCTGCTTCTTGTCTTGTGTTTTGCTTTTTCTGTTTCCACTTCAATTCCCAATTAAATTAACTAAATTGCGCTTTTTAAGGGTTTGCCCGAAGCCCTAAACCCTAAACCCTAAACCCTAAACCCTGGAGGCGCAGCATAAACCCTAACCTAAGTTCTAAACCCTAAACCCTAAAAGGGCCTTTTGCTTCTGCTTGGCTGCACGAATCAGCGAGTCGTTCACTGCTACTTGCCTCATGCGCCTGAAACCCCAACCTAAACAGGGCCTTTTGCTTCTGCTTGGCTGCACGAATCAGCGAGTCGTTCACTGCTACTTGCCTCATGCGCCTGAAACCCCAACCTAAACCCTAAACCCTAAACCCTAAACCCTAAAAGAGGGTTTTGCTGCTGTTTGGCCGCAGGAACCAGCGAGTCCTTCACTGCTGCTTGTCACAAAAACATCAAAAACCCTAATTACGAAACCCCCAAAGGCGACGCAAGATTAACTTTTAGGGTTTTGCACACTGCGGCCCCAGTGCTGTACACCACTACTGAGTTTGTGCCAAAGAACAAAATGAGGTATTTCAGAAAACAATTTCAAAGATTAAAACTTTAAATAAATTGAATTGCATTTAGAACTATTTTATTTTGTTTTGAAGTATTTCAGAAAACAATTTCAAAGATTAAAACTTTAAATGAATTCAATTGCATTTAGAACTATTTTATTTGTTTTGAATCATTTCATGGAACAATTTCAAAGATTAGAACTTTATAAATGAATTAATTTGCATTTAGAATTCTTTTATTTGTTTTGAATCATTGCATGTAACAATTTCAAAGATTAGAACTTTATAAATGAATTAGTTTGCATTTAGAAACATTTTTTTCGTTTTAAAGTATTTCAGGAAACAATTTCGAAGATTTGAACTTTAATTGAATTAAATTACATTTGGAATTATTTTAGATTTGAACTTTAATTGAATTAAATTACATTTGGAATTATTTTATTTTTGTTTTTTAAAACAATAAATGTTTTGTTCAGATTCACTTGCATGCACAACTTGCGAATTTGCATTTGCCAAAATGCCAAAAGAAATATGAACCCTCTGATGAGAAAATCCTCTAAATCCATTAAATGATTTAACTAAATAAATGTAAATAAATTACAAATATATATTTATTTTAGCACAGATAGTGCAGCAGTCAGCAGCAGCAGACTGCATCAGGCAGCAGCAGCAGCAGCAGCAGCAGCAGCAGCAGCAGCGCGCACCAGGCACCACCAGCAGCATTAGCAGCAGCAGCAGCCTTCCGCACCACGCCTCCCCAGCATCATCACCAGCAGCAGCAGCAGCAGCATCATCCCCAGCAGCAGCAGCAGCAGCAGCAGCAGCAGCAGCAGCAGCAGCAGCAGCAGCAGGAGGCGTTGGCTTTGCTGCTGCGTCTCAGGCTGCCGAACGAGTTGATAGCTGCCTTCAAAGAGGCCTCCAACTCGGCCCTCAAAAAGGCCTTCGCCGCAGTCGAAGTTCCCGACTCCAAAAACATGAAGGGCAAGTTCGTGGGCTCCAAGTTCCAGCAGTCCATGAACAACCTCATGGCCACTCTCAAGGCCTCCAGGGCCCACTTCTGCAGGCAAGCCCCCGCTACCTAGCTAGCTAGCTACCCAGCTAGCTACCCAGCTAGCTAGCCAGCCATCTAGCTAGCCAGCTGGCTAGCTAGCTAGCTAGCCAGCTGGCTGGCTAGAGAACTAGCTAGCTAGAGAGAGAGCTAGACAGCTGAAGAGCAAGTTGGAGTGCTAGCTAGAGAGCTAGCTAGCTAGCTAGCTAGAGAGCTAGCTAGCTAGAGAGCGAGCGAATCGGTTGGCTAGCTAGCTAGCTGGCTGCTGGCTGGCTGGCTGGGCTCGCTGCCTTTCTACCCGGCTAGCTAGCGAACGAGCTAGGGAGCCAGAGAGCCATAGAGCTACGCTAGCTAGCTAGCTAGCTAGCTAGCTAGCTAGCTAAGAAGCTGCCTCGGTAGCAGTTCGGCGCAGCTGGACCGCGGCCGCGATGGTGGGCGTCTGCTGCAGCAGCTGCTGCTGCTGCTGCTGCTGCTGCTGCGTGTGCTGCTGCTGCAGATGCATAAAGCCGAACCAAGTGAAGAAGCCGCGGGTGTTCGAAACTGAAAACACTTTGGGGCAGCTCATCAGTCTTTCTGTTTTGGAAGCTGTTGCAATTATTCACAAGGGCTTTGCCTACAGAGCTTCTTTCGCGGACTTCGTCGCAGACAACAACATTCTCCTCAAGGTCCTCGGGGCCAAGCTCGTGAGCTCCCTGGCTAGCTGCCTGGCTAGCTGCCTCGCTAGCTGCCTCGCTAGCTGCCTGGCTAGCTGCCTGGCTAGCTGCCTGGCTAGCTGCCTGGCTAGCTGCCTAGCTAGCTGCCTAGCTAGCTGCTGAGCTAGCTGCCTAGCTAGCTGCCTCGCTAGCTGCCTGGCTAGATGCCTAGCTAGCTGCCCAGCTAGCTGCCTAGCTAGCTGCCTCGCTAGCTGCCAAGCTAGCGGCGTAGATAGCTGCCTAGCTAGCTGCCTGGCTAGCTGCGTAGATAGCTGCTAGCTGCTCAGCTAGCTACCTAGCTGTCGAGTGAGATGCCTAGCTAGCTGCCTGGCTAGCTATCTAGCTGCCGAGCTGGTTATCTATCTGCCGGACTAGCTATCTAGCCATCAAGCTAGCTAGCAGATCTGTCAAGCTAGCTAGTTAGCTGCCGAGCTAGCTAGCTAGCTAGCTGTCTAGCTAGCTGCCGAGCTAGCTAGCGAATTAGTCAGCTAGCTCGGGGAGTCGTAAGTGGCGTGAGTGGGCGAAAAGCTAGCTAGCCAGTGAGGAACCCATAGCTGGCTGGCTAGCTAGCTAGCTGCCGATCTAGCTAGCTGGAGAGCTAGCTAGCTGGAGAGCTAGCTAGCTATACAGGTGGCTAGCTGTGGTCTGCTCTCCCCTCAAAGGGCTTGCCTCCTCGGACAGGCCCGTGCGGGCTTGGGAGCGAGTCCCAGCACGTAGGAGGGTTTAGGGTTTAGCGTCTAGGGTTTAGGGTTTAGGGTTTAGGGTTTAGGGTTTGGGGTTTGTGGGCAGGAGGGAGGCGACGACAAGACTGCGACTCTGACGATGTTGGAGCGCCTGGGAGTTCCCAAAGAAGAATACCAAATGGGGTCAAGTAAAATCTTTTTGCGGAAAAAAGGGTGGTTAGTAATAGACCAGTATTTCCGGTCTGCAATGGCCAACTTGAAGCCCCTGATTGTGAATCTCCAGTCCATCTACAGAGCCGCCAAGGCCCGCACGTGAGCCCTAGGGTTTAGGGTTTAGGGTTTAGGGTTTAGGGGTTTCCCGGCGCTGCCTCCAGCGCTAAAACCAGGCCGCCAGGCCTCACGGTCGCCCGAGGGTTTAGGGTTTAGGGTTTAGGGTTTGGGGTTTCGGGGGGCCAGCGAGTCGCTTTTAGCCGGGGGTTTGGAATCCCCGCTCGTCCTAGCAGGGGCTAGAGTGGATCTAACTGCGCAGGGACTGTGTAGGGTTTAGGGTTTAGGGTTTAGGGTTTAGGGTTTAGGGTTTAGGGTTTAGGGTTTGGTGCGCGTTGCTTCTTGCAGGCTATACCTCCAGTTCGCCTCGCGAGTTGTTCGGCTGCAGTCTTTAATGCGCCGCTACCAAATTAGAAAAGATCAATTTAAAAAAATTGAACTTTTGAGAACTTTCTTAGGAGCTGTTGCCACCATGAAACTCTGCCTGTGAGTTCTTTGCTGCTGCTGCTGCTGCTGCTGCTGCTGCTGCGGCAGCAGCTGCTGCTGCTGCGGTTGCTGCTGCTGCTTTCTGCTGCTGCTGCAGCGGCAGCAGCTGCTGCTGTTGCAGTCGCTGCTGCTGTTTCTGCTGCAGCTGTTGGTGCTGCTGCTGTCTTTAGAGTTTGTGCCGCTGCATTTGTTCGCAGCAGCACTTGCTGCTAAATAGACAGCAGCAGCAGCAGCAGCAGCAGCAAATAAAATCTGTCGGAAACATAATTTGCATGAATTTCAAGCTATTCCTAATTTGTTTGCAGAATGTGGAAGTCTTGCAGCCAGGGACTCAAAATCCCTAAACCCTAAACCCTAAACCCTAAACCCTCGTGTTTTGTGTCTGAGCTCTTCAGGTTCCAGCAGCGCCGCACACTGGCTGCAATTCAAATACAAAAGATGTACAGAGGGTGCAGAGCACGCAAACAGTGAGTGAAAAGCCCTAAACCCCAAACCCTAATCCCTAAACCCTAAACCCTAGATCCTAAACCCTAGACCCTTGGGTTGCCTTATTTTTTCGTGGCGTTCTGCAGAACAGCTGCAATCATTCGAAAGGCAAAGATGGGAAAATTGATGAGAGAAACGCGCAAGGTGAATAAGCGAAAAACCCTAAACCCTAAACCCTAAACCCTAAACCCTAGATTTGTCGTTTGTGCCGCGGTTGTTTTTTTTAAATAGTATATGAATTTCCTGTGTTGGCTTTTACGGGCTCTCAAGGGCCTGAAAGTATTGTCTTCATTCGGAGCTGATGGTTTAGGGTTTAGGGTTTAGAGCTGCTCAAACCCTAAACCCTAAACCCCTTCAGAGGCTTCTCAGTTTCGCTGCGTCGCCGCTGTTTCTGCAATCCTGCGGGTGCATTGACTGGGGGGGCGTCGATCCACCATTTATTCACCGCTAAAAGTGGCAAAAAACACTAAAATTGTAAATAATTATAAAAAATAAATAAATAAATAAATAAATTTCGGAGTTTTTGAGGGTTTTTTCGCTCAGATCACCCTCGCTGGCGTGAGCGGCCTGCGGTGGCGGCGCGTCGCTCACCACCGGAAAGAACAGAAAGCCGCGGCTGTTATTCAGGGTTTGTACAAAATAATAAAAGCAAAACGCATTTTAAATGATTTAAAAAGAGAAAAAAAAGAAAATGAAGCTGCAGTTAAAATCCAAACCCTCTGGAGAGGCTATGTCGCCCGCCTGAGGCTCGCGCTCATGAAGTACCTCACGCCCTACGCAATAGTCATACAGGTGAAGACAGTCAATAAACAGAAAAGAATAATAATAATAAATTAATAATAAATAAATAAATAAATAAATAATAAATAATTGAGGCAAATGTAGGGGCAAGTGGCGCACAGCAGCGAAAGAGCGCATTTGAAAAGAGCCATCCACGGGGTCCCAGTCAGGGTTTAGGGTTTAGGGTTTAGGGTTTAGGGTTTATCTGGCGTGCTGCAGAGACACTGGAGGGGTTACAGGGTGCGCCGAAGCCCCTTTTACACCAAACACGCGACGCTGTAGGTTAATTTAAAAGGGGAAAAATAAAAAATGAAAAAGAAATCAAAAGAAGGTCTTTTTGTTCCTTTTGCTGGTTTTGACTTATTTGAAGACCTTCGGGAGATATATTTAAACAAATATATTATAATTATTTATTTATATTTTCTTTGTTTATTCATCTGCATGCATTCTGTTAAATTCAAAAATAAAAATGGGCATTTCGCATTTCTGGAATTCGCATTTTCAGCGCAGTTGCAAATATATAAACACGCATGCAGGTTATACAGCATAAAAATAGATCTTTCTTTGCAAATTCGAAATTGAAAAGAATCTTTTCAATTAGATCTTTTAAATGTTTCTTTACAAGCTCCTCATTCTCCGAGAATGCAGGAACTGTGTCTGATTTTGTTGAAATGGTTTTATTTCTTTTTTCTTTTTTTCAGATTTGAAACTGTCCGAAAAGGCATAAGAGAAGACCAAAGCCGTTTGCTGCTGCAGAGCGCCGCAAGGACCTTTTTGGTGCTGCACCGGCTGCAGCACGTGACGCAGGCAGCTTACACGATGCAAAAGTGGGATTTTCACCGTTTTTTCCTCCAGTTTTTGTTTATTTGGATTTAATTAATTAATTAATTCATCTTTCCGCTTTTTTTCCGCTCTTTGGAGGCTATATTTGTTCATATTTGTGGTGTATGTACAGGCAGTTTGCTGCATCTGCGCAGGCTGTCTGTGTGCATGTCGTGCATGCACAGAATGCATTTTTACATATTATTAACATAAAATATATTTTAAAATATGTTATTAATATATTTAAGACAACATTTAATGCAACAAAGTAGTAGTCCGAAGGTCATGCCGTAAAAATAAAACTTGAAAACCCGACACATCGCGTTGCAACAGCTGCTGCAGCTGCTGCTGCAACAGCAACTGCAGCAGCAGCACATTTGGTCTCGAACTGCACATAAAATAGTGACTTCATCTGTGTAGGCATACACATATACATATTATATATATATATAATATAATACAGCACATATATAATATGGTACGTATATATAAATGTATATAATATATATACATATAATATAGCATGCATATAATATAGTTTACATATATCTATATACATAACAGTTCATATGTGGATGAAAGCATATCTCTCTATGTATATATATATATATATTAT